GGACAAACTTTTAAGTTATGTAACTTCGATGCCCCAATTACCTCAAGAGGAAACACGCAGAGGGATAAAATCATTTCTAACGTAGCTTCAAGTTCGTTTTTCAAACGGCATGCATCGTGACACCCTGCTTGCTCTGGCCACATGCTGCTAAGATCTGTTTCTGCAGTTTTTAATGCAATAAAAACAATTTAAATAATGAAAACAAAAACACACTCGGAAAAGTTAAAGCATTGGGGGCAGGGTGTTTGTCGCACAAAAGGCTGAATAATGATTTGAAATGTCAATCATATAAAGTGTAACCAGGAAGACAATGTTGAATAATTATTCTCCATTTTCATTACTTCAAAATTAAACTATTTAAATGTCTTCAAATGTTTGGATGCACATAAACTTGCTGTTATAAGAGGATTAAATAATGGAATAATTCATAGCCTCTTCATACTCAAACATTTTAAAATAATGCTAGATTTCTATCATTGTTAACTTATTAACTAAGCTAAAGGATTAAAAAACAAAATCATGTCATGTGTGTTTAACAGACACATGAATTACCTTTAGTATTTTTTCTTTAATCTTTTATGGGAATTTATTTAATGCAACCACTATTTTAATATCACCAATAAAATTTAAACAGATATATCTCAAACAAGGGTTATATAGAGTGGACATACTTTGATAGTCTATATCAATGTAACATTTACATTAGAAAATGGAATCTCCTTTAGCTCACACTCCATATATTTAAATTTTGAGACAGGACTCCAGACTTAATTGGGCTGATTTTAGCATGGTAAACAGATGTTAAGATAATTACTAAAATGCCATTTAATAAATATCTTAACTTTCTCTTCTCCGTTTCATTGTGAGTCATGAGTTTCCTCATCTACATTCACGCTGTCCTGCTTATTAGTGCAGCATCAGTAAAACAGTAGTTAAGAGACATTTTTCCATTTTTCTCTAGATTATGGCCAACGTTTTCAGAATGAACCCAAACCAACATCTCCTGGGCCCTCAGTTTTATTGTAAAGCATCATATATTCAAAAGTATGTATGCAAAGAAATGCATGTTTTGAATAAAATGAACACCCATGAATCCATCAAGCAGGTAAAAAGTTACAAAATTATGAGTAATTCAGAAAGTCCCTTTGTTCCTCCACCCAACAACAGTCCTTGCTTTTCTTTATACATTTATCAATTTATATAAACCTACATTATTATTTAAATTTGCTGGGGTTTGCCCATTATACAATTATAAAGTCTGAAATTTCTTTTTGGTGGTGCAATATTACATTTTTAGATTGATCCAGGTTGATCTGAACACCTGTATTTCATTCATTTTTACTGCTCTAGAGTAATCAATCGACTGGATAACCATAAACTATAGTTCAATGTACTTAGTCTGATATTGTTTCAATTTTTTCTTATCAATAACATGGCAACAAATATTCTTATGTTTCCTTGTGCAGAAAACTCGTTAGGATATGTACTTGAGTGAAAGCTCTAAATTACAGTGTATGCACATCTTCAAGCTTACTAAATTATTACCATTTTCCAGCATACATTTCTATCAGAATTGGGCAAAAATTCCTATTGCTCCACATTCTCAGCAATAAATAGTATTGTTAATCTGTGAAATACTTCACTGTGCCTTTAATTTTTATTTCCCCAATTAATACTGGGGCTGATAATGTTTTCCTATTATAATGGTCCATTTGTACTTCCTCTTCTGTGAAATGTCTATTCATCTGTACCCATCATTTCTTCTGATTATTTGTTGTTCTCACGTTGGTCGACAAAATACTCTGTATATTCTGGATATTTCTAGGCCTTCAATTTTATGTTCTGGGGGAGTTTTTTGCTTGTTTTTAATTTTTTTTGTTAATTCTCACCGGAGGATATTGATTTTTACAGAGAGTGGAAGGGAGGGAGGGTGAGAGAGAGAGAGAAACATTGATGTGAGAGAGACACATCAATTGGTTGCCTCTTGCACAAGCCCCAACTGGGGTCAGGATCAAACCTACAACCCAGGTACATAACGTAGCCTTAACCAGTAATCAAACCAGTGACCCTTCATTGAACAGACTGATGCTCTAACCACTGAGTACACTGGCCAGAGCTCAATTTTATGTTTGAGTGTGCAACAAACCAAATAATAAAACGGGGTTTTCCTTTTTGCTTTGTTGTCAATGTCAAGTCAGAGGGCGCAGGCTGGGCTGAGGGACCCCTCCGAGCGCACGAATTTTAATAGTCAGTATCAAGAGAAAACCTTCCTCACTTTTACTGTGAACACTTGACCCAGTTCCCCCACACCTAGAAGTGAAAGGCGGCATAAGACAGCAGCCGAGCTTGGGGTGCTTGAACACATCTATTCGTAGCAGCCTTTGAAACCAAAGGCACAAATGACAGAGCATATAGGCATGTGTGTGTACTGAGCTCACACAGACTAATCAGACTGCAGTCATTCTCCTTCCTAACAGAGCTACATCTCTGCAGCACTTTATGTACTGTCAGTGGACTTTAGATACTTCATATGATGCTCAAGCAATTCTAAAGGGCGGAGGACACTTTAGAACTAAGAAAGTAAGGAGATGAAGGAACTTGCCCAAAACAGAGCAAGCTTGGCGGCAAGTCCAGGCCCCTGCCCTTGGTCAGGGATGCTTCTGAACATCATGCTGCCTTCCAAGGTAAGGAATAAAGGCTGCCAAGGCTGGGGGACGGCATCCTTTTAAAGGCTGACTCCTCCGTGTACTCAGCTTGTACCTAATGCTTATAAAAGGATTATGTTGTACTCAGAAAGAATTCTAGTGTGAACGAGGTCCGTGACAGGTGCTAAAACAGAATTAGACAGCAGTCATCTGTGTGTCCCCCACACCATTCGTTCCCTACTAAGTCAAGACTCCCCGCCCGGCTGGCATGGCTCAGTGGTTGAGCATCAACCTATGAACCAGGCAGGAGGTCAGGGTTCGATTTCTGGGCACATGCTCAGGCTGCGGGCTCGATCCCCAGTGTGGGGTGTGCAGGAGGCAGCCAATCAGTGATTCTCTCTCATCATTGATTTTTCTATCTCCTCTCCTCTTCCTCCCTCTCTGAAATCAATGTGTGTGTGTGTAAAATAAAATAAAAACGTTTTTAAACCTAAACCCAAATCTCTTACCCTTCACAGAAAATTCACACAAAACATGGCGATGGTGGTGGGACTCATTGAATTATCTGATAACTAGGAATACGGGGTTAGATAAAAGGCACTTGGATTTGGCCCTGGTAGTCGATGTTCTCTAGCACTGACCTTGCAAAGTAGAGCACTCACTACTCTTCTCACTCTGCAGTGCACGAAACACTCCTCACAGTCCAACCTCCTCTCCTGTGTCAGGCCCCACCTCTGGGCTCCCTCAGCTCAGAAACTTCCCTGCTGCCCACCCGAGGGGCACTGCCCGCCTTTGGGCCGGACTCTCCCCCTGGCACTGAGGGACCCACCACTGGACTTCATGAAGTAAACATCTGCACTGCCCTCGGGTTGTTCACGTCCCTTTTCTCTCCAGTGGGAGCCTGAGTGGACATTTTTCAAGAAAGAGGATATTTTAGTTGGAAAATGCCTGTTAAGCATTTTATAAGTAATGCTGCCTGGTCAATAATTTAATTTAAACAAAATAAATAGTAGTGTAGAGTTCTTTATTAAGTACTGTAAATCAATATTTCTATGCCAAGAGAGTTGTGCTGGCAGAGAAAAACCTTTGCATTTTACTTTGCATCAACTCTGTCAACAATTATTTATAGTTTTTAATTATTTTTTCAGTAAAGCATGTGAATCTTTAAATTATGCATGAGTGTACTAACAAAAATTTATCCTTTACATACAGTAGTAAATTATTACTGAAAAATGCAGTGTACCAAGTCTGCTATCCATCTATATAGGATTAAGCACTACTAAAGGCACAAGTATAAATAGTTATTCTGGTAACATTAATTTCTTGAAACAGAAAGACTGTGCAGTCTTTAGAAAGTAGAGAATTTTTAAAAGGCCAAATGAATTAGTTAACTGTCAAAATAGACACATCAATATTAATTAAGTCACTGGTCCAAAGAAGGAAAATCGGTTAAAATCAACCAACATTTACTGATCATCTAGTTCCTTCAAAAATGTATCATGTAGCTGAGATACAAGATGAACAAGATGCTGCCTCTGCCTGCAGGTGCTTCCATGATTATTTCATCATAATTTCAGAAAGTAAACGGGCCCTGGCTGGTGCGGCTCAGTTGGTTGGGCATCATCCCATGCATGGAGAGATCACTGGTTCGATTCCTGGTCAGGCACATGGGCACATGCCGAGGTTGCAGGTCCTATCCCTGCCCCTGGTCGGGACCAGGTTGGGGTATGGGGGTGGGGGGCAACCAAGCCATGTGTCCCCTCCTTCCCTCCTACGCTCAATAAAATCAATGGGAAAATATCCTCACTCCTTGGGCAAGGTGGGGGGGGGGGGATTTTATTTTAAGCAAACGTAAAGGGACATGTGATTCTGCAACAAGAAACACAGTGGAGGAATTCTGCTTAACAGAAAGACAGAGAAGGAAGGAGTGAGGGAGGGAGGAAGCAAAAGCTAGAGAAAGACAGTTACTTTTGCAGGGAGAAGGGGGATGCATAGAAATGCAGGAGGGCTTCACAAAGGAGGCTCATTGGACAGCTGCCGAAAGCATAGATAGGCTTCCTTCAGATGAAGGTTGTGGAAGAATGTTCCAGGAAGAGAGAAAACAGAGCAGATTCAAAGGCATTAGTCTTGCAGTAAAGTCAATGGGCTGCCTGTGCATATCCCCGGGGACGTGTACTCATGGGTAAATGTGCAAATTAGTAAGCAAGGACAAAGATTTCACTTTTTGACCAAACTCTAGCCAGGTGCCTCTGAGCCCTCTTCTTCACTTTTGACAAACTCCTGTTTGTAAAAGTTACAAACTGAGCACAAATGATTTTGTCCATCCTCTCCCCCTCACATTAAAAGACTTGAACAGTGCTCGCTAGGCAGCACAGATACTAAAATTGGAACGATACAGAGATTAGCATGGCCCCTGCGCAAGGATGACATGAAATCTGTGAAGCATTCCACATTTGAAAAAGACTTGAACAAACACTAACATAGAGTTTCTAGCAGCCCACGGTCACATCCCTAGGATAACCCCAGACCCAGACCCCTGCAAGTGCCGGTCTGAGAAAGTTCGAGGCTGCCAAGAGCCTTACAATTGTGAGTCCTTTTCTGTCCCTTTGAAATATACCTGTACTTCCAACAACTCGATTGTCTTTCTCAAGAACCGGAAATCCATCCTTTGACATGACCTCAGGAAGGGTGGGGCCTCTGTCCCCCAGTCTCCCAGGAGGATAAACCCTGCCTCTGTAACTGCCAGTTGGCCAACACAGCCGGCCTAGTCACATTTACAGGGACCAACCCTTGGAAATTCTTCACCTCCCTGACCCTATGGGGCTCCCTCTCACCTCCTCCCTATGCCCTCCCTCTCCCTTTAAAACTCCCAGTCACCTGTGTACAAATAAAGTGGAGATCCGGTCACTCGGGACTCTCCTCCCTGATGCAAGAGTAGATTATGAGCTAAAATCTGTCCTGACCACTTTAACCAGTGTCCAGTTTTGTTTAACTTTTCTAGTCATAGAACAGGAAACAATGCCACCCACTGTTCTAAAGCTTTCAGTAGCTCTTATCTCTTTCAAATATGCCTGCTGGTTCCCTGACATGTGAAGGCGGGCCCTGTGCCCAACAGGACACCTGGGAATTCCTAGTCATGGACAGATGCTCCTCCAGGGCCTTTGCCCTCATCCTCTTTATGAAATGCTTCCTTCCACATCACACGGTTTTTCTATATTCTTCCACTCATTTATTCTCTCACTCATTCATACACAAAACACATTAACTTATTAATGACTGTGTGTCGAGGAGTCCCACTCAAATGCCCTGCCTCCACTTCCATCAAACTTCACTAACAGCTCCAGCCATCTAACCACAGGCAGACCTACTGTGTTTGCTCTACCTTCTCCTTTAAGAATATAACCTTTTCCATGTGTTATTCCGGGGACAGACACAACCTACCATCTGGCCCACTGCCTGTTTCTGTACAGCCCACGAGCTAGAAGTGGCTGTTACATTGTTTAATGGCTGAAAAAAAATCACAAGAAGAATAAAATTTTATGACACATAAAATCATAGATTCTAATTTCAGTGTCCATAATTATAGTTTTGGGGAACACAGACATGCTCACTGGTCTGCACAATGTCTGGCTGTTTTCACATCAATGTCAACATCAGAGTCGAGTAGTTGTAACAAAAAGCCTCTGACCCAGGAAGTCCAAAGCATTTACCATTTGGCTCTTTTCAGGAAAAGTGTGCCCACATGTGTGGACCAGGCTGTGCTGCAACCGGGTTCCTCAGCTCTGGGAAGCAGGACTGTTCAGTGCTCACAGGCACCACTTAGCTCAGTCCCGACATCTGAACTGGTGGCTTCTCCTTCCTCTACACTGGTCTGCTCTCTATCATCACAGTAACTAGTCCAGAATCAACATGGCAATTCCCACCAGCCCTTCCACCAGCGCCCTTATCTCTGCATGTGCCTTCTGTACTTATTTGTGAGGACTACATTTCCCAGAATGCAATGGGATGTCACCAGCCTCCTGCCTGCTGATTGGCAGGCTGGTGGTGGGCGTGTCTCCCAGACTTTACATTAGATTTTTCTTCAGTTTGAGATTTCAGTGTTTTAAGTTTTTATTTTATGTCAAGAAACATAATGGGAAATCAAAAGCTCATCTTTCATGACAATGAGAATTCTTTTAAGTCTTTAAAATATTCCAAGAATGGGTCTTTAGCTCCCATGAGGATGTACCGAAGCTGTATTCTTCCAGTATTCCATAAAATGCTTCCTACTTTGGGGTCTTCAATTGTGTCACCACCCTTTCTGGACTGAGTAGCGGCTGATGCATGTTTCACAGAATTGTTTCCATACAACATATGAGTTATAATTTAACAAACAGTTCTATCCTGGCCAATATAATAATCTGTCCAAGGTTGTTAGGCATTTTCTTTGAAATCTTGAGTTTAACCACTTATTCTTCACAGACTGGACATTCATTCATCATTAGGATGTTTCCTTTCTGCCACAGCTGCCACCCACTTTTTTCTCCTCTTGAAGTATCGACAAAGAAATAACTATATTAACTAAAGCACAAGGATTTTGAGAAACAAAAATGGCTACTGATCACGTATGTGTTTTTCTCGATCACACTGGTCTTTATTTTTCGTCCCCACTGCCCCCCAAAAATTCTTAGAAAGTCAGTAAAGTGAACAGAACAAAAACCTTAATACTTGGTCTTCATGTAATTATTATTCAATTAATTTTTAGGGGAAACATATTGAGAAACAAAATCTGTTGTTTAAAATGTTTCGTAAAACAGAGAGTAAAAATGGCGGCGGAAGATGCTGCATGGGCACACTACCAGGACCAAACTGGAATTACAACTAAAATACAGAAAAACTTCCTGAATAATCAACGAAAGATTCCAAGGACGGAAAGTGGAGGCCGCAGAGAGACTGGACAAAGCCCCCAAAAGAGGGGCAAGTTGGGGTCCGTTTCCTGGGGCTGCTGCTCCAATGACTACAGGCTGGGCTACACCAACAGGCCCGGGCTCTCCCAGTTCTGGGGGCCACAATCTGAACTCAGGGTCTCTAGGGCTGTGCTCCCTCGGCGGGCTCTGGGGAGGGCCCTTCCTGCCTCTTCAACTTCTGGGGGCTCCCACGGCATCCCTTCCATTTCAGCCTCCACCTTCACTCGGCCCCCCTCCGCCTGACCACACACTGTGTTCTGCGACCTCCGGGCTCACATGATCACTCCTGCGTGTTCACTGGCCCCACCCCTTGTTCACGTGACTCTCCCATGTTCACGTGGCCACACCCCTTGTTCACGTGGCCCTACCCCCTGTTCATGTGAAGCTTCCATGTTCACATGGCCCCACCCCCTTGTTCACGTGACTCTCCCGTGTTCACGTGGCCACACCCCCTTGTTCATGTGACGCTTCCATGTTCACATGGCCCCACCCCCTTGTTCACGTGACTCTCCCGTGTTCACGTGGCCCCGCCCCCTTCTTTACAATTTATAATAGCGGAATCTCAGAGGATGGGAGGTAATCAACCACAGGCCTTGTGTGCATGTAAGTAGTGGGGCCTTGACTTACGAGTTTAATTCGTTCAGAGGCCGTGCTCCATTTAAAAAGTAAAAATGTTCTGTAAAGTCATTTTTTAGCGAAAGGGGAGAGCGAGAGGGGAAGAAGGCGCGAGAGGGGGAGAGCGTGTTGACTGGGGTGCGCGCGGGCTGGAGGCGCTCCCGGAAAGTGCGCGCTAGCACAGGGGCCTGTCTGAGCGCCCCATCCCCACCCCTGCCCCGCACACAGCCTCCCCATCGTCCTCCGCCCGTTCGCCCCGTGAGGGACAATGGAGCCACCGGGACACACCGCCCCATCCCGCGCAATCCGAGTCCTGGCGCCACCGGCCCTGTCTGGCTCCGGGAGCGCTAGCCGCTCCGGGTCGGCACCCCCGCCGCGCGGGCCACGCGGCGGGGAGAAGGGAAACGCGGGCTAGCGGGTGGGGCGGGGGCTCGGCCTTGTGCGGGTCACACGCTTCCTCGTGGGTCCCCGGCGCTCCGGGAACCTGGAGCCTCAAGAGGGCTCGGCGCCCGGAGGCCTCCGCGTTCCAATCGGTCAAAAGGCCTCGCGCTCCCTTCCTCCTCCCCGCAGGCCCGCGCTGCCGTCGGAAGGGCCCGGGGTGCGAGGAGAGCGGGAGCCGGCGCCGCGCGCGTCCGAGCGTGAGGGAGGCCGACGGGAAGGGGACGGGGACGCCGCCTCACCTGCGAGGTGGAAGGCGTCGAGCACGGCGTCTCCTCGAAGCGCACCCCCCGGAACAGCAGGTGCTGAGCTGGGCTCCCTCAGGCGCTGGGCCGCCCTGTCAGGCTCCCCCCGGCCCCGCCACGACGACGGGACAGCGGGCGCTGAGGGGACTCCCGCCTCCGCCTCCGCGGTGAGTGGCAGGTGCAGCTCCTTGGGACCCTCCTTGGTCCCGCCTCCGCGGTGAGTGGCAGGTGCAGCTCCTTGGGACCCTCCTTGGTCCCGCCTCCGCGGTGAGTGGCAGGTGCAGCTCCTTGGGACCCTCCTTGGTCCCGCCTCCGCGGTGAGTGGCAGGTGCAGCTCCTTGGGACCCTCCTTGGTCCCGCCTCCGCGGTGAGCGGCAGGTGCAGCTCCTTGGGACCCTCCTTGGTCCCGCCTCCGCGGTGAGCGGCAGGTGCAACCCCTTGGGACCCTCCTTGGTCCCGCCTCCGCGGTGAGTGGCAGGTGCAACTCCTTGGGACCCTCTTTGGTCCCGCCTCCGCGGTGAGTGGCAGGTGCAGCTCCTTGGGACCCTCCTTGGTCCCGCCTCCGCGGTGAGTGGCAGGTGCAGCTCCTTGGGACCCTCCTTGGTCCCGCCTCCGCGGTGAGTGGCAGGTGCAGCTCCTTGGGACCCTCCTTGGTCCCGCCTCCGCGGTGAGTGGCAGGTGCAGCTCCTTGGGACCCTCTCTGGTCCCGCCTTCACATTGAGTGGCAGGCGACTCAATTTATAATAGCGGAATTATTATAAATTCCGCTTTTGCGCCAGAGACCCCGCTGCAGGAAGCAAGACTATTTATTTTTTATTTGTTTACACTTGTTAAAAAAATATTTTTTTATTGATTTCAGGGAGGAAGGGAGAGGGAGAGCGAGATAGAAACATCAATGACGAGAGAGAATCATGGATCTGCTGCCTCCTGCACGCCCCCCACTGGGGATTGGAGCCTGCAACCTGGACATGTGCCCTGACCAGGACTGGTTCATAGGTCCACGCTCAACCACTGAGCCACGCCAGGGGACACAAGTCTACTTTTAAAGTGATTCTTCTATCATCCAGCATTTATCTTCTACTGACATTTTTATTATTCAAAAATTCTCCCTTGAATAAGAAGAGCAGTTCATCTGGAATATCACAACTCATATGCATCATTAATATCCTAATGCATTCTTTATGGTGGTGAATAATACCCTGAAATGAGAAGT